CTACGATGTAGCTCACAACACTCTGATACTCATTACATAGTTGGTTTTTAACTGGAAGTGAGTTTTGATCATGAATTTTTAAATCCATTTTCAATTGTTTCCTTCTAGTTTTTTGCAAATCGACTAAGTTGTGGTTAATATAAATTTTTCGCGAGGGTACCATTAAAATCGACTTGAAGAGACGAAGTGAATGACACCCTTATGAGCTCCTGATTTTACAGTTTGTGAGACCTGCAATTCACACGTGGCTGGAGGTTGAAAATGACCAACGTGTCATCTCTCAACCAATGACATGGTGTCACGCATATTTTCAAATATGTTTTTTAATTAATGATCCATCAGTTTATTCACTAATGACCATGATATGTGCAACGCGCTATATCCCTTGGATTTGATTATCAACGCGTTTTGACATTGATCCAATGGTCTATATCTTTTTGGTTTTATTTTTATTTTCTAATTTTATATTTTAATTGTTTTAAACTTCAAAAATTCATAAGAAATTCATTTCAACTTCTAAAATTCTGGAAAAAAAATCTCAAAAATACTTTTGATTTTTCTCTTTCTGATTTGTATTTTTTCACAATTTTATTTTGTGATTTTTCATTTTATTTGATTTGTTTTAATTGTTTAAAAATACTTTTCTTGATTTTTATATTCTGAAAAAATTACGGAAGGATCCCATGATCTCTTGACAAATATTGGTGATCTCATTTTATTTTTATTTTTTATTTTACTATTTTTCACAAATCTTGGCTTATTTTGTTTATTTCTTTATATTTTAAAAATAGTTTCTGACTTAAAAAAATTCTGAATTTTTTTGTCAATACTTATTGGCTCATGTTTGACTTCTGATATTTTTTTTAAAGATTTTTATTTGGTGTTTTAACATATTTTGTGTATTTTACCAATTATTTCCCTTTTATTAATCATTTAAATATTGTTTTATTAAATACTATTTTATTATTTTTTGATTGGTCTTGATTTGGATGTTATTTTGGGACAAGTTCCTCAACCTCATTGGACCATGGGTGTTGATAGGTTGAAAAACCAAATTCACCAAAATGGATGAATGATGTTGATGATATTTGAAATCCTAAAATTTATCTGATACATCCCCTCCCTTTTCATCTTATCTCTTTATTATTTTTACTTGTGTGATGTTGTTGGAGAATGATCTACATATCATCCTTCTAACATGTGGTACATAGATTGCTATTGACCGACCTCAAAATAGGTGTGACTTCTACATAAGTCCACTTACGGTTGCTTAACATAGCACTAAATTTGTCCCGGTACGAAAAGTGATGATTTGTGGCCCAGACCTATGTTTGCAAGCCCAAGTATATTTAATTTGAAACCTTTGATCCAATAACTTTGAAGTTCATTGTTAGGAGGCTTTGATTCTATCAATCCTCTAATGAACTTCACAAACTTGGCTAAGTGAATCAGTTGAACATCGTTGATAATATATGGTTGCTTTGAGCACTTGAAATGAATATATACTTGACAAAAAGCAATTGAAACTTGTTATTGAGAGGTTTTGATTTTATCAATCTTCTAATGAGTTTTCAAAAGCAAGCTTCAAGATGGTCATTCAACTAACCTTTTGTACTTTACTTCTAACTTCTAATTCACTAACAATTAACTTTACTTTATGCATTTACTTTATGCCTTTATTTTTGTGCATTTACTTTTATGCACCATTTATTTTAGCATTTACATTCCATGCTATTTTTATTTTGCTCAATTGAGCATTTATCTTTATGTTATTTTATCTTTGCTCACTTGAGCTTTATTTTCTTTTTGAAAACACTTAATAATCAACTTGAATATTAAAAAACTTTAAGGTTACTTGGACTATTTGGTTACTATCCTTGACATTGTGGAGTTGTGGACCTCTCAGACTTAGGATTAGAAGCCCTGATACTATGAGACCTTGTGACTTTGTTGTTATTTTGTCTGAAGTTCTTGGGGTTTACCCCAAGTCATTGGGTTGAGTTTCTTTGTGTGCAGGTTAATCTGGTTACATGCTTTGTCCGTGACTGAGAATTCATCTGTATACAGCTGTTACTCTGCCCAATTGTTGTGAAGACTTAATTCATGTGAAGCTTGGTATTTCTAAGAGGTTTAGTATTTTTGCTTGCTTGGTTTCAATCTGAAGGATGGGAATTCAACATTGACTTCATATGTCAAGTGTTGGCTTCTTGTTGGTTAGATCATTCTTTTCTTTGGCTTTTACCTTATGCTTTAGGATATTCCCTTCATCTCCTCCTATCTTCTTTAATTTCAAAAATCTTCTCCCTTCTTTTCAAAACTCTTCTTATTTTCTAACTTAAACCGCTTTCATAATAAACTTGGACTTAAGTCCATGCATTTTCAAAAATATTTTCTTAATCAAATTTTTATCAACTTAACTATACTTTAACATCTTTTGAAAGACTAAAATTAAATTAACCTCATTCAGACCATTTTGCCACTTTGGCTTTTTTACTTTAAAACTTTTCTCAAAATATTAGACTCTTGTCGATTCTTATAGTGATGTGAGCTACTATACTTCTACGATATGTAGTGAAGTGAGATATTTTCCACTTGGGTGTTGAGTGACGCTTTGTTGATTTTAAAATCTAAGCTATATCCTCCACTTTGAGATGATGCAAATTCTCCTTTTTCATAGTTGTGGGTAGTAAGTATGTTCTTCTACTCGGATATGACGATGTTGTCTCTTCTCTTAAAATTAACCAACACACATATGTTTTAAAAAAATTGAGGTGAACTACGAGTACCCTGATTCCCTATTGCATAGAAGGTGGTACATAGGCACTAAAAGTTCACAACCGCAGCAGGTGCAAAATTGTAAAAAAAAAAATACTTCTTTTCTCATCTCCACCATCTATTTTTGTATACACCTTTTATAACCAAAATACACAAATTTTCAAAGAGGTTCTTGCGGAGTACTATAGATGTTTAGGGTGCTAATATCTTCCCTTTGCATAACCAACCCCCGTACCTAGATTCTCTCCCTATTTTTGAGTTTATTCTCTCTTTTCCCATTTCCTTTGGAAACAATAAAGCGCGGTGGCGATTTTTATTTGATTTGTACGAGTTAAATCAATCTAATGGCTTAGTCTCAACATTTCTACTGCTACACTATGTCATGTCAATAATATTGAACTTGGTGTGTAATTATAAATGATGGATGGTCTGAATCGATATGGGGGACTTAGTTTTTTTAATACACTTCCTCACACTAAACACTATTATACTTGGTGTATGGATATAATTTATAAACTATGGATGACCTAAATTAATATATTATTATATCATATTTAAGTTTTATATTTGACATAATTCAACCCTGCAAAATTAATGTAAGGTTAAGTTATCTCAATCTAAATTCTAAGATGATATCATAGTTCATCAAAGATCTATTAAGCTATAAGATATCATATTTATCGTATTAGATCACCCACAGTTTATGTTCACACACTAAAAATAGTCAATTTGGGTGTGAGGGTGTGTTAAAAGTCTCAAACCAGATAAAGTAAAACATGCATAATTGTTTAGAAGTAGAGGCTTTCTTATCTAACGATTCAATTTTATAAGGATTTTTTATGCTCGAATTGAAAATCTTAAATGATATTGTAGTATATTTATTGGAATCACCCAAGGTGTGTGTTAAAAAACCAAGTTAATTAATGTGGGACACTTCTCAACTAATATTCCTAAGGTGATATTGTGGGTGGTTTGATCATCAACCTCTGCCAGGGAATAAGCCTCTCACATGTGGCAAAAACCCCACACAAATGCAAAATTTGCGAGGGGACTGCTCCACTAGGAAAACAGGGGATCGCAAATTTTTTTACGAGGGACTTTTCACGCCGCCTATTTGCCAGGGTCTAACCCCCTCGCAAAATGCAATCACAATTTTCAAGTCTATAACATACAAACGTAGGCGCAGGCTAGTAGTGCAGCTAACAGTTCAGTGCGTCGGAAATTTTGCTTGGGGATAAGCCCCTGGCAAAATGTATGATTTTCCATTTGTTTGAGGTTAAACCCCTGGAAAAATATATGAGTTTTCCATTTTCTTGGGATTAAGCCCCTGACAAAATGTATAATTAATATAAAATAAATAAATATAATTAAAATATAATTAATTGAATAAATATAATTATAATATAATTAAAATATAATTAATTGAATAAATATAATTATAATATAATTAAAATTCAAACATAATTAATAGAATCAATATCTAAGCATTATTAGAGTTTATAGTGCACTCCTTACTTTAGGTTTATTAGAGATAAGTTAAATTAAATACAAATATCTAAGCATTATAAGAAAAATCACTTGTATATTTATCTTAATATCAACTTCGAATGTGAAATTTTTAACACACACTCTTCAAGTTTTTGATTGGACATCTGAAGTGTAACTCGAATGACTCGAGAGTAGTTGGTCCAACACATCTTGGATAGATCTAGATAGAGTCAAGATTCTTTTTTTTTTTTCTTTTCTATTTTGTCAATTAGTAAAGTTTCATAAATATAAATGTATTAATGTGATATTTGATAGGTCTTCCTATTTTTAATATATTATAAATGTCTTCAAAACTATAATAAAGAAAAGGAAAAATAAAGAGAAAAAATGGAGAGGTTCTTTACTCGATCTGGATATCATCTTAAAATTTGAATTGTCTCATTCAATCTTACAAATTAATCTATAATATAAAAATTGATCTCATTTATAAACTCATGTTCAAGTCATCTCCAATGTGATCAAAATTTTAAAAAATAAATTATTAAGAGGTTGAAAAACATCATAATGTTCATCAAATTGTATGAATTGACACATGAAGAATGGGAGAAATCGCTAGGTGTCCCAATATTTCTAAATAAATACAAATGAATTTCATGCATGTGTAAGAAGCAATAGATATATTGTTGAAAGAGTGGTGTATTTCAAGAGTAGGAGAAATTGTAACCTAAAAAAGATAGCTAGGATGAAAGTAAAAGCAGGTATAATGTTGCCAAGAGCAGATGCAAGAGTATAGGTGTAGTGTATTCAAGCCCTTTATATCCAAATAGCAAAGCTACAACTCTGCCTCAAAATCCAATTCATTAAGCCAAGCAAAATCAAGATCAATAATAATATTACTTAAAAAAGTAATGATCAAAGTCTCAAATAATCTTAAAGAATGTTTACTTTTGCAATATTACTTTGTATTACCCTAAAACTCCAAAGAGAAAAATTCTGAAGATTAGAGACATGTTTAAAGGAGGAAGCTCTCTTGACCTTCATATATAAGCATATTTATCTTATGAATAAAAAAATAAAAATGAGTTCATAGAAAAAATATGAAATATTTTAATTCATGTAAAAAGAAATCACCTTTTGAAGAAGGGTAGAGGCAAAAGGAGAACAAGAGAGGATACAACATATGAATAAGCAGTGAAGACATAGAAACTCAAACCATTGTGAGTAGCTGCTTTGAATAGAACATTGACACCAACGTTTGTGAACTCCATTGCAACCATTGCAGCAAATGGAATCAGATCTTTGCTATAACAATTTCTTGATGCCATCTCTTTCCCACTCTCTATGGTTCATTTTCTCTTGGTTTCTTTTAAATGGCTGAATAAACATAGATGATTGTGGATTCACTGATTAACAATTAGGCCAAAGTCAGTTGAAGTTTTTAGTTTAATTTATTTGGTACGTAGTATGATTTAAGTTTATTATATTAGTGGCACCACGTATTTTGCGGTGAGTTTTAATATACTATTCTAAACTTGATCATTTGTTTGCACAGGGCTTAAATTTAGGAAAGGGACAAAGAAAGTGGGTGAGGTTGAGTTTATGATGAATAATATAGCACGGGCATAATAATAGAAGAAGTGTAAAACATTGACTTCAAACTTGCATTCATTTGGATCCAAACCCTTTCTAGTTATCTTGTTGCTTTTCACGTGGAGGTAATACTCGTAAACTTAAGTTATGTGTAACTAACAATAGTTATAGTAAAACAGAGTGAAAAACATACATAATAACAAAAGGAAACAATAAGGAGTATAAGTTTTGGCTAGGGTGTTGGGTTGAGGCCAGATAGTTTGTTATAGTAGATTTGATATTTGTTTTTTAATAATAGAAACTCAAAGCATAAGAAATATTAAGAAAAAGAAAAATAAGATTCAAGACAAACAACATATAAACACTAAAATAAATAGTTCAAACAAAAACACCACCATAATTATTGAAGAATCCCCTTTGTGTTAGAATAATAATGCAAGTGAGTAAGTGAGGAAATAGTATCACATTGAATATGAATGTGGTGACTTGAACATTTATAAGTGGGAGAACTCGGTCATCTATCACCTTAAGGTTTTAGGTGAATATATGGTGTGTCTCTCACAAAGGTGCATAATCATCAACTTTGTATAAATGCTCCTAGTAAAAAGAAAAATTGAAGGTACACCACCACACTCTGAAAAGGACAAAATCTCAATCCTAATATAAAAGAGTTAAGCCACTACTGATGCGGCGTAATATGGTATGAACACCCATATTCAAGGATTCATGCATTAGTGCACTTTGCAGATGAAACGAAAAGCAAATTCTCTTCACTAAAGGAACCATCTATCTGAACTACATTTGTTGAACTATTGTTTCCTGACTTGTTTAGACAGTCCCTCCTTCAATGGAAAAATTTTCTTGCAACTATAACATTCTGCTATTTTATTTTTGTCCTTGGGCTTGAACCTTTTTTTCAGAACCCATTGCCATACACTTTCCTCTTTCATGGTCTTGACCTCTGTTCACTAACAAACCTTCACCTGAACTTCCTTCATCTTCCTCTACACTTTGGCGACATTGTGTGTGTTGCAAAATGGTAGTAAAATAGACTCCAACGAGATTTTTTCCTTCCTGTATGTGAGAGTGGTCACCAAGTGATCATAAGAGCATGGTAAAGAGCACATAAAATAATGAATTTATCCTCATCGTCAACCTTCATACCAAGTTGAGTCAAATCAGTGAGGATGTTGTTAAAAGTGTTTACATGAGCCTACAAATCGCCTCTTTCCTGCATCTTCAGACTATATAGATGCTACTTTGCAAACAATTTGTTCATGATTGTCTTGGATATGTATTGATTTTCCAATTTATCCCAGACATCCTTCGGAGTTGTGAGTTTCAAAATATGATTCATCACGTCATCAAAAACACAAAATCTTATCAAACTTGTGACTTTTCCCTTCATCTCGTTCCAATTAATGGTTGTGAGTATCCACTGGTTTCTCATCACGAAGCGCCTTCTATAAACCTTGTTGAGCGAACAGATCCTTAACCTTCATTTTACAAGAATCAAAATTTCCCATTTCTTTGAACCAAGTCACTTCGAATTTCGCACCTCCGAGATTAATCATCATCTTATATAAATTGTTGGAACATGTATGCGAATACATATCAGAGTAGATAAAAACATACAAAAGCTTTGTTCACACAGTTTGGTCAAGTTGTCTACGTCTGCGACTATAGAGCAGTTATAGTTTCGTCTTATTGATTTATATTGAATTACAAACTTTAGGGTTTCAGTGTTACAAGTATATATAGGGATACTAATGATCCATATTACATTAACACCCCCACACACCTCAATCCTCATCCCCCACAAACACTTGGGTCAAATGCAAGGGAAAGGCTCGTCGTTGCTCCGTAGCTCTGGCCCTTGCCCATTTGACATTACCTAACCATACTATTTATAAATAAATTTATGAAATCATAGAATCATGTCACATCCTAACCATACTACATCGTGATTAGATGCTTTATCTGTTTTCTAATTTGGATAGAAAGCTAGATTGCGTTGTTGGTGTTGGGAGAACGTTGCTTTGACTTTTTTTACAATGGATAGCGCAACAATTCAAATTAAGTTGTATAAATTGGATTGAGCATTGTGACATTATATATAATATAAGTATTTAGACTCGTGCGATGCATGGAAGTTAATTATTTTATTTAATAATTAATTGATATACAATTAAAATGTAGTATATAATTAATTTAATTTATATTATAGCTTTTATAATATTGAAATAAGCCTAAAATATATGTATCTTGATAATCACCACAAATGAGATAAAAGTTGTAGGTGCTAACAAATTCACTTGTAAGTGGTAACAAATTTTCCATATTCACCGATATTTAATTGTAAAGAGAAGAAGTCAAATCTAATTATGGTAGAGTGTGACAAATAACACATAGATATAAAGTCTCACCTTTAAAATTATTTTAATATTAGAATTTTTTCTAACTTAAGTCACAATTTTAGTCATCGTAGATGAAACACAATTTAAAAATTGTTTACATTAAATGTGAATGAAATTCTAGAGTCATATGGAATTAAAGACAATCTCAAGATAAAAGCATTTTATTCATTACTACTTTGTGAGGTAATTTTTGTCTCAAATACATAATTTACCATTTAAGTCAAGTAGCACCTAACTATTGATCAATACTTGTCGATAACATTGTTGACACACTAAAAGTGTAAATATCATCAAGATTATTATTATTTCTACCGAATAAACATGAATTATCATTCGTTCCAATATTTCTTCTCGAACTTTTAAAATCCAACATAAAATCTCTTTCATTTCAATGATATCAGACAATGAAGATGTATATTGGAGCTTCATATTTTTTTGACAATGTTAAGACATGAAAAAATTGTCAAAAGTATAATGAGATAATAACAATCAAAACATCTTATCTTACAATATTTGAAATGACATGAAAAATTTGTTTGAAATAATTACTCAAGACGTCAATTTCTTCTTCCTAAAAAATATTTAAACTCCTAATATTAGAAATTTTAAATATAATTTTAAAAGACATATCAACATCTCTAATAAAAATTCTTACATCAGAAACTTTAAATATAATCCTTAAAGACATATCAACATCATCAATACAATTTTTAAAAATTATTGAAGATTCATCTCAAATAATAATGATGCTTAAAAATGTTAATTAATTATTTTTATTTTATAAAAAAAATTAGTGTTAAAAAATTTAAGATGTGTTAAAAATAATGATTTTTAAAAATTAAAAGAGACTAAAAAGAATCAATAATTAAAAATTAAAAAAGAGTATTAAAAATAATAATAATTAAAAATAAGATTTAAGAGAATTAACAAAAATTAGTGAAAAATAAAGAATAAATAAAAAAGTAATAATAAAAATAAAGTAAACAAATTGTTAATAATAAAAATTAAAACTTAAAAAAATATAATTAGTGGTTAGTTAAAAAAATGGGTTAACGATTTTAAATAAATGGGTTAAAGAAATAAAAATATTAAATGATTATAAAAAAATTAAACGTTAAAAATGTTAATTAATTATTTTTATTTTATAAAAATAATAATTAGTATTAAAAAATATAAAATATATTAAAAATAATTATTTTTAAAAATTAAGAGAGATTAAAGAGAATCAATAATTAAAATTAAAAAAGAGTGCTAAAAATAATGATGATTAAAAATAAAGGTTAAGAGAAACAACAAAAATTAATGAAAAATAAAGAATAAATAAAAATAATAATGATAACAATAAAGTAAATAAATATTAATAATAAAAATTAAAACTTAAAAAAAGGATAGTTAGTGGTTAGTTAAAAAATGGGATAACGTTTTTAAATAAATGGGTTAAAGAAATAAAAATATTAAATTTTTAGAAAAAAATTAAACAAAAAAATTATTAAATTAAAATATAGATAGTGGCTGAGTTTGTGGTTGATTATTTATTAAAAAGTTAGTGGGAGAAAGCATGATTAATAATTATAATTAATTAAAAATAATGTTAATAATAATAATGATAAAATAAATATTGATAATTTTAATATATAAGATTTTGATATTATAATTTCTTCTAACTTATAAGTCATAATTTAGTTTTTGTAGATGAAACAAATTTTAAAAATTGTTTACATGTGAATGAAATTTTAGAATTATATAGAATTAAAGACAATCTGAAGATAAAAGTATTTTATTCAATACCATTTTGTGATGTCATTTTTGTCTCAAATACATAATTCATCAAGACTATTATTAATTTACTAAAACAATAACTGAATAAATATAAAAGTTACTCGGAAAAAATTAAGAGTTAGTGAAACTTTAATTTTAGTTTCAAAAGTTATTTAAGAGACTTAACAATTTTAATATATATAAAGTTTAATTAATTTTAATGAGTAATTATGCATTTTTATTAATATTAATTTTTAATAAATAATTAATAATTACTAAAACAAGAATTAAATCTGAACTATTTATTATAATTACTATCCTATTATTTCAATTAAAAAAAATTAAATTTAAAATAAATTTAAATTTATCCTCTGAAACAATAACATATATACATTCTTACCTTTCTTATTCAAATAATTTTTATTATATAGTATTACTATGCAATTACTAAAACAACATTAATTTTAACTCAAAAAATTACTTTAAAAACTTAAAAACTTTAATACATAAGATTTAATTCTCATAAGCAAGTGGAAGTTAAAAGATTAGTGGAGTTATTT